CACACACACACACACACACACACACACACACACACATATATATATATATATAAATTCACAATATACAGAATGAACAGAACTGTGAAATAAAATTATTTTTAATATTCATTTTATATTAATTATATTTACATTAGTATTTATATATATATATATATATTAGTATTTAATATTAATAATAATCAATGATGAAATATATTACTAATGTAATAATACTATACTGTAAAATAATTATAAAAAAATTATTAATAACAATAATTACAATAATAATAATAAACAATGGATATATAATACTATACTGTAAAATAAAAAATATATTACTAACAAAAAAATAAATGAAGAAACATATTACATATATAATAGTACTATACTACAAAATAAAAATGAGTATTTAATAATAATAATAATAATAAATGAAAAAATATATTACTAATATATTCCTGTAATAATAATACTATACTGTAAAATAAAAAACTGAGATTTAATAAAATTAATAATAACAACAACAATAATAATAATAATAATAACAATTAATTTTAGTAACATAAATATAAATTGAATTGCATCAGTTGGTGTGCTTGTGTTGTCTTTAAATTATATTTTACATCTATATCAGTCGACCACTAATTATCATCACAACAGCTGACATGATGCAGCTAACTAAACATAATGCAATCCAGAAACATCTCTTTACCGATTCGTAGAACTCGTAGAGGTTGAGCAGGACGTCCAGTTCATTCTTGCGTGTTTCGCTGCGCTGCAGGACGGAGCTGATGTGCTCTTTGACCTCCAGAAGGGCTGGACCGGCTTTAGGCTCCCTCAGTAACGCTGCGGCTTTCTTCTGCTGTTCCTACAGGAGCAAAATAAAGACCAAGAGAACTAGTTAGTCATTCAGATGACCCACTAATCCAAAGTGGCTTAAGACTCTTTCACATAATTTGCCTCAACGTTTCCCTACACACTGACATCTCTGGCATCTATTTTTTTTATTAGGAATAAAGTAATCACTTAAAGTAAAAATAAAATGGAATACAACCACTGTTATTTATATGAGATTTTTATTTATTTATTTATTTTATGTCTGTTTTAGTTTTAATTCATGCTAATAGCCCTGGAATAAATATGTTTACTTTATAGATTTTAATATCAAGTTGATCAAATAAAAAAATAAAAATTTAATAAATAATAAAAATTAAATAAAAACTAAAATGAACTGAAATAAAATACAAAATTAAATAAATAAAAAATTTAATAAAATACAAGATGCAATTAAAATTTAAGGAATACATTATTTTTTGTTACTTTCAGGATTCATACCTTAGGCGTCTATTTTAATTTTTCTGGCTGTTGTTGAGACTGAAATGAGACTGAAACATGTTCTTGAACTCATTTAAATTCCCCAAGAGCATCCTGGGACAGTAAAATGATGGCTCTCTTTTATCTTTCTGTGATTCATAAACATTTAAAAAATATATATATATATATAAAAAATGAAAAAAAAATAATAATAATATTTAATAATAAAAATAAAATACATATAAAAATAAAACGAACTGAAATAAAATAAAATCTTTCTTTAATCTTTCTGAGATTCATCAAAGCATTCGGCACATGAAGCACTTACGGTGGACTCCTCCATGAACTGGGCCAGACTCTGTCTCATGTCCTGAATGGAGCTCAGAGAGAGACTATAGGAGTCCAGAGGAGCCAAATGTTTCTCGCTTTCCACATAAAACCACCTCTTAACCTGAGGACAGATACAGAAAAAACACGATCAGCACATTGTCTTTCCAATAATCAAATATTTAAATAGAACAGTAACAATCAAGTTACAGAAGTACAAATCATTCCTTTACTCCACAGACAAGCTGATTTTTAATGAACATATGAAAACATACCCTAGTATGCTGCCCTATTAATAGTTAATTTAGGATGTTGTATAAAAACACAAAAAAATCACCCCTGAGTGATTTAAATAGCATAATCCACAATGCCTTATTTTTTCAGATATGCCTGTGGAGAAAATGAATGGCAAAAATCCCATCTCTGACCTCCTGGTGTCTCTCCTGTAAGGCGCGCAGCTCCAGGAGCGTCTCCAGCTGCTGCAGTGATTTATTCGACAGAATGACGAGTTTATGGACCTCTTCATCCACCTGGTTATACAGTGCACTGACCAGATCCACAGCGTCCCTACACCAGACACAACATCAGCTTCAACTACAGCTCCAGTCAAACACCACAGGGACAGCTCTATAACATCATTTGGCAAAAAAATAAAAAATA